AGGATCATGACCTGAGCCAAAGGCAGACTCTGAACTGACTGAGCCACCCAGGTGCCCCAGATTGAGCCTTTTTGAACTGTTTGTTTTGTGTTCGTGTTTGGTAAAGACTGTTTCAGAGCAGCCGGTGAGCGTGTGGAATCGTAGAAAGGTAACCACTGACATTACTAAGAGCTTAAGTGGCAAACTCTGCTTTCAGTAAAGAGATATCAACTCCTTTCAAGATCCAAAAGGTTCAAAACAGATTTTTTTTTGAAGTTGCAGAACAAGGGATGAGATTGTTTGAAGATGAACACATCAAAGGAAAGTATTCAGAGTTAGCTTAAACTTTACATCTTTAGCATTCCCCATCTGTGTCAACAGATCGTGCTTTTCCAATGGATGGAAACATTTGCATAAAAAGTCCTCAGAACCCAGTAATGACACCACCACTGATTCACCTTCTCTCCCTGCCTTCTTCCCTCCTCCTCCTCCCTTCATCCCTCCCTCTCTCCTTCCCTTTTTGCACATCAAAATTATACTAAAAAGACAAATTTTACTTTGTTTCAATTTTACTTAAAATTTTTCATTATTAACTAAAATTTAATAAGGTTTGGAGTGTTTGCTTTTTTATTACTTTTAATTAATTTTATTAATTTATTATCTACTTGTTTGAGGGAAAGAGAGTAGGGGGAGGGGCAGAGGGGGAGAGAGAGGATAGAATCTTAAGCAGACTCTGTGCTGAGCGTGGAGCCTGATGTAGGGCTCCCATCCCAGGACCCTGAGTTCACTACCCGAGCTGAAACGGAGAGTCAGAGGCTTAACCAGCTGTGCCACCAGGTGCCCCAATGAATGTAATCTAATGATAGTTATTTTTTTAAGATTTATTATTTGTTCCTTTATGAGAGACACACAGAGAGAGAGGCAGAGACAAAGGCAGAAGGAGAAGCAGCTCCCTGTGGGGAGCCCAATGCGGGACTCGATCCCAGGACCCTGGGATCACATCCTGGGCCGAAAGGAGATGCTCAACCGCTGAGCCACCCAGGCGTCCCAATCTACTGATGGTTTATATTAGAAAATATGTATTTATGTATTTTCATTAATTTAACTTTTACTTACTATTTTGTAATATATTTATGATTTTTTTAGATTGTAAATGTTTTAAATATTCAGTTCCTGTGATCTTTGCTTTTTTGATAAATAATAAAATACTGGCACTGTCAGTTTTGTGCCAATATTGCCAATCTCAAAAAGTACACATTTGGGCTTACAGATTGCATGCATTTCAGCTTTACTAAACTGTCAAATTGTTCCCCAAGACATTAGTATCTACTTATATCCCCATTAGTTGTAGGTAGAATTTTCTACATAGCTTTACATCATGGTCAATATTTTCCATGAGTAAAACTCTCATGTCTTTGCCAACCTGGTATGAAATGAAATCTACTTGTGGTGTAATTTGTATTTCTCTGGGGCACCCGGGTGGTTCAGTGGTTGAGCGTCTGCCTTTGGCTCAGGTCGTGATCCCGGGCTACTGGGATCGAGTCCTACATCGGGCTCCCTGCTCAGTAAGGAGCCTGCCTCTCTCTCTGCCCCTCCCCCTGCTTGTGTGCTCTTTCATTCTTCTTTTCTCTCAAATATGAAATAAAATCTTTTTTAATCTTTTAAAAAATTGTATTTCCCTGATTGATAGTGAAGTAAAACATCTTTTCATATGTTTTATCGGACAATTTCATTAGCCATTTTTTATGATACATTGGTGTCATTACTTTTTTTAAGATTTTATTTATTTATTCATGAGGGACACAGAGAGAGGCAGAGACACAGGCAGAGGGAGAAGCAGGCTCCCTGCAGGGAGTCCGATACGGGACTCAATCCCAGGACCCCGGGATCATGCCCTGAACCAAAGGCAGACGGTCAACTGCTGGGCCACCCAGGTGTCCCACACCATTATTCTTTAAACTTTTGTAAATATTTTTCATCTATTCAATTAAAAACAAAGAAAAAATAAGCATCAGCCCTGGCTGTCATGTAAAGAATAATAATGAGATCAGAGAGAGAGGGAAAAAAATTGCTAGAACTATGTCCTTGAGTAGATAAAAATGGGTGGCATCCAGTGGAAGAGAGAGGAATTAGTTCCAGGAGCAGCGTGCAAAGTTCATGCATGGTTACAAAGGCTGAGTATGTGAGCGCTCGGCCGAATGGCTGTGGTGGCTCAGAGTCTGCGAATTCCCTTCCAATCGCTTGAATCTCTGTGAAGTCATCAGTGAAGTGAGGTGTTCAGTGTTTAAGGAGAAAGAGGACAGTGTACAGACACTTGTTGAAGGAACAGGGAAGGAGATTATTGCCTGGAGGCTCCAGAGCCCACGGGAGGTCTGTGGTCGTTAATTGAAGGGGAGACCAGTCAGCCCACCAAGGGAACCAAGGCAGGTGAGTGCCAAGAGTGCCAAGTGGTAGGGCCAAAGGACCGCAGGCTCTTGGGTCAAGGGCTGGAAGGGGTCAGTGAACAGAGGAAAGGATCTGGACGTGGGGGCCAGAGAGTGGGATGTGTGAAGTTCACACCATGAAGGGGTTGCAGTCATGGGCAATCACAAGTTCAAAGTATAAGCAGGACTGGCCTCATGACTTGTAACCCAGGCAGTTGCACAGAGCCTGACGTTCACAGGGCCCTGCACTTGGTTTTGTACTCTGCCATCACCATCTTGAAATTTCTAACCATATGTTGGCAAGGGGCCTTGCGTTTTCATTTTGCCCTGGGTCCCAATGTCCTGGTTATGAACACAGAGTGAGTGGCTGATGCAGGTGGAGGAGACGAGGCTAGTGCAGGAGAAGACTTTGAGGAACAGAGAAACTGTGGGGTGGGAGGGTCATGTACGCATGAAGAGCACCTGCTGAAGCTTTGGGCAGGAATAGCACTGAAGTTAGTGATAATGAGCTAAGAGCTAGACCCTAGAGAAGTGAGGGGCAATAAGCAGGGGCACAACAACAGTGAAGGGTAGTAGGTAACAGCACCTGATGGCACGAAAAGCCCTGGGTTTGGAGGAAGGAGAGAAACAACATAGAAGAGCCCTAACAACAAGGACAAGGATGCTGGCCTCCCCCCCAGGTCCTTCAGGGAGAGGGGTTTGGAAGGAAGAGGCAGCCATGTAGATGGGAGTGGGGGTGGGAGGCGGGGAGCGGTGTCCTGGTGGCAGAGCCAGGTTTCTCTTAGAGCAAGAAGGTGGTAGGGATGTTTAGAGAACGGGTTAATGACCTATAAGGCTGGGGTTCTGGTAATGATGACACAGGGATAAAGGGAATAATGAGATTAGCCCAGGAGGTTCAAGGCAGAGTGGAGGCAAGACTGTGAGGATCCGTTAGAGAGGGCTCCCCCTTCACCATTGCTGTTGGGGTGAAGGCCTAGGGTCAGCATTGTCTTTTGATGTATGTTTAGTGCAAATGCTTGCTGAAAAACCCTGTTTCTTTTACACATTTTGCAAGTAGCATTTATAAAATAATAATTGGAACAAGGGGTATTAAAAAATAAGTTTCTATGTTTACCCAGTGACACTATAGATACTCATCTCACTGCTCTATAATCTCTTATAGAGTTTTGTTCCCCCTAAACGTTCCAAAATAAATGCATAAAGGCATCACAAGTTCAATAAATCAATTTCTCTGTAAAGCACTGTTGCCACATGGCTTATTATTTCATTTTAAATGCCTTGCAAAGAAAAAGATCATATTTGAGCAACGTCTGTCTTTAGAACTTGGAAGTCCATGGCCTTTGGACTAGTTGACATAGACGCTCCATTTGTTTTACTCTTTCATTTTCCTCTGGTGGAGATTTTCTTTTTTTCTTTTTGTTTGGTGGAGATTTTCTTAGCTGATACTACAACAGCGTAATTAAAAATGAACTCACTTGAGAAGTTAACATAAGATAGTTGGGTTTCAAAGAACTATGTGATCGGCCAAACGCAATGTACGGACCTCCTTCGGATCCGATCTGAACGAGATGCCTCCGTGAAAAGAAATTTGGGGAACTTTGTCACATGTGGACAAGGACTCACGGGGAATGTCGTGTTGCTTGTGATGTAATTTGGGGACACCCACTGGCTTAGTCTGGCCTCAGGAACCCCCACAGAAAGGATTGGGATTTGAGGTCAATTGCCAAAGCCAATCAGTGACAATCAGTGATCAAATCTTCTGTGCCTTAAAGCTCTAAGTTGCTTTCTAAATTCCCAATTCAGTCAAATGATTCTTTGGCATAGGTGCAAGCTCCGGGGGTGGGGGTGGGATCGGCAGATAATTTGGGCCTCCTGTCAATGTCTTTCACTCTCTCTCTCTCTCTCTTTTTTTTTATACTTTAATACTTCTGGAGAATCAGAATAGGTTGACCAGTTGGTAGAGACATCTAATGTATGCACTTTCCTCCTGGGAAACTATTGTGAAACTGAGCCCTTACGATCAATGGTATCTTGGATTTGGAGAAATCCGGTAACGTATGTATGCTATGGAAATTGCTAGATTGAAAAAAAAAAAAGGAAATTGCTAGATTGGGTCTGTTATCTAGATTCTGGTTACTTAGCCAGTGGCGTCCGTTCCAAGAAGAATAAGAGGACAGTATGTCACTTCCTTGGACAAAATTCCCAGCGTTCTCTGTTTTAATTAACACTAACTATCTCTATGAGTTCAAGGACGCATCATTTAGTAACCAATACAGGAACGGCTCAATGGTGTTTTGTATGTTGCATCAACTCAGAGCTAAGTGAAAAAAACTAGAGAGAAGTACCAAGACCATGGGAACAGTAAATTCTCTCTCCTGATCCTCTTTGCCACAAGCCCAGACTTCCACCATCAGAATAAGGGTCCCTGTTTCCAAACCTGTGTCTCTTTCAAATTCCCACAGTTGAGAATGCCTGAAAACGATCCGTTTCTTTTTGGGACCCAAGATTGCCAAAGGCATTGCGCTCAAAACTGAGTGGTAGATGGTCCCTGGATTTGCATATGAGAGCATTATGATTCACACAATCATCTTTCCGCAGGTTTAAAAATTTAGTCTACACGTACCGAATCTTCGAAGAGAGACGTGGGTTTTACAATATACAGGTAAGAACGTACGAGAACTCCCGCAACAGCATCAACAGAAGACACATAGACCAGCTCTAAAACCTGAGATGTGGCCACCTAGAGGCATTTTAAAAAGGGAAGCAACTTGCAGAGGTAGAGTCAGATCAAAAGTAAACCTTGCCTTTCTCTGAGGGCAACGGGGAGCATCCCTGAATATTCACAGCTGTTGTTCAGACTTGTAGAGGCCCATGACCTCAGCTCCCGGTGCTTAAATGGGACCAGCCTGGACTCTGGGTGAGGCCACTATCCAATTAGAAGACCACCCAGTGACCAGGGCAGGACGGGACGGGAGGGGGGCCAGGTCTGAACGCGCAGGAAGCCAAGGCAGCTCCACGGTTGTATGAAAATACAAAGAGAAGCATCAGTCCATGGGCAGTCTTAGTCTTGGGGGGGTGGGGGTCCTTTAATTTTTCTGGTTTACTGAGCACTAAGCAGAAAATCCTTATTGTTTGAAATAATTCCTCTGGCTTAGGAAGCAGAGCAAAATAAGTTTAACCGAATCTTTACCAACAGAGAATCCTGAAATAATCTTTTTGAAACACTTGCAGACAAGGTTAAGCAGATTGTTCGCCACCAGATTTCTCAGAATCTTCGATATGCTAATGTTCATTGTGAATATCTAAAAGAAATCAGAATATATCATGATCCCCAAACACGTACATAGCACACATACATATGTGGGTGTGTTGTATAGAAAGAATTTTTCTTTTCCTACAAAGGACGTTAGTGAGGCAGCTGACAAAATTTGAATAAGGTCTGTAGATTAGTAAGCAATACCACATCAAGATCAATTTCCTCATTTTATTTTTTTAAAGACATTCATGAGAGAGAGAGAGAGAGAGAGGCAGAGACACAGGCAGAGGGAGAAGCAGGCTCCATGCAGGGAGCCTGACATGGGCCTCAAACCTGGGAATCCAGGATCACGCCTTGAGCCGAAGGCAGGTGCTCAACCGCTGAGCCACCCAGGTGTCCCAATTTCCTCATTTTAATCACTGTGGTGCGGATATGTAATGCTCTTGCTTTTTTGAAGATACTGACATATTTAGGGTTACAAAGCTATCATGTCTGCACTTAATCTCAAAAAAAAATTTAAGAAGATTATGTATATGCATCGCTATACATGTACATATATGTGTGTGCATCTAGAAAAAGAAAATGAAAAGCAAATACGTACAATAAAGTGTTGACATATGGGGTATGAGGTGCATCTGGGTGGCTCAGGTTATGATCCCAGGATCCTAGGATCGAGCCTCACGGTGGGGGGGAGGTGGTCCCTGCTGCACGAAAAGCCTACTCCCTCTGTCTCTGCCTTCTGCCCTCCGACTTGTGCTCTCTCTCTCTCTCTCTGTATCAAATAAATATTGAACAAAAACAATTTAAAAGACATTTGGGGTGTGGGTGAAGGATATATATATATAAAAATTTTAAGAGCATTTTTGCAATTTTTCTTCCAATCTAAAATTATCTCGACATAAGATGTTTTCTAAAAAGAAACGTCTATTAACACTTTCTTTCCTTGGTCGTGCATGCTTTGCGAAATGGTGATAATTCCCCAGTACGCTGTTTTGTCTCTTGTCTGGACAAACCAGAGCGAGGCCCGGGAGTCAGCTCTAACTTGGACACGGGCACCTCGCTGAAGAGCAGCGACGCACTCAGAGCCCCTAGTGGGGGCTGGTGATGAGTGTCTATAGAACCTGCCCGAAGGCGACTTCAGCGTCCGCCTACGTGTCTGGTGGAGGTTAACCACACTACATGTCAGAGAACTTTCTGGTTTCCACTTCTCTCTGCAGTTTGACATGGAGCCCTACGGGAAACACAGTGATCATCAAGAAAGCAGGCACAGTGTCTGGCACCAGCTCCCACAGGGTGACCGGCTGCACTAGTATCCCAAGCAGCGTCCCAGGCAAGGTTGCCAAGGGCGGGGGCTCCCTCGGCCCTGCGGACCTAGGATCCTAGAGGACCCCCGATCCCAGATCCTCTCTGCCCACAGTAGCTCAGGTCACAGGCCGGTCTTAAAAATAAAGCTTTCTGAGTATTTCGATGGGTGTGAGCTCGTAAGCATGAACTGCCAGCTGCTTGTCTGCAGTCTTCCAGCTCCGACATAGCACTTCGTGGGGGGCTCAAACCCCTGCTTTGACAAGTGTCACAGTTCACACACAATACATGGTGATGAGCCATCTCCTTCTTGTATTTTGGCAGACGGTGGAAGGTGCTCCCAAACAGATCTTTCCAAACCTAAAAGAGTTGATCTCCAAGTTTGAGAAACCAAGCCAAGGGCTGGTGGTGCACCTCATACAGCCGATAAAGAAAGCCAGCTCCTGCCCGAGGTGGAGAAGATCACAGATAAAGCTGGATAGTATTTATGGTAAAAACTCTCACACGAGGGTCAGAAAGGGATCGTGGTCCCATTTCTTCCCCCGGCCGACTCTGTAGAATTTATAGATGCGCACCCTGTTCTGTTGTGTTATCTCTTAAAGGCTTTGCCCACAAAAAGCAGGGTCGATCCTGTTGGGCAAGATCTTTTATATATATATATATTTTATTTATTTATTTATTCATGAGAGACACACAGAGAGAGAGGCAGAGACACAGGTAGAGGGGGAAGCAGGCTCCATGCAGGGAGCCCGACGTGGGTCTTGATCCCGGGTCTCCAGTATCAGACCCTGGGCTGAAAGTGGTGCTAAACCTCTGAGCCACCCGGGCTGCCCCTGTTGGGTAAGATCTTGTTGGGCAGGCTGTTTTTGAGCCCTGGGGGTGGCCCCCGCGTGGGGCCCTCTGCCTGGAGGGTCAGGAGAGCAGGAGCAGCCCCAAGGCGCTGACCCAGGGGAGAGCTAATCTTGAACTCATACGTGACCTTACACGATCCACAGGCTTGGGAGGAGATGGACAAGTAGGCCAAGTTTTCAAATGAGAAAATTGCCTCGATGCCCTTGCCAAGGCTCATGCAGAGTCACGTTTTGCTCAGTGTTTGCGGAGCATTCATCTATTTAGTGTTAGGGGACAAGTTATTTCACATATCACCCTAACGGTATTAAACCATGGTGGGAAATGAGAGGGGGTCGGTCACCTTGAGTGCGGAGAATCCACGCTGAGGCTGCTCAGATGGCATCACTTGCAGCCACGATCGCTTACCCACCCCCCTTGAAACCCCCTCTCAGGAAGTCCTCCCTCTCACACTTGTCGGTTATGATGTGGTTTGAATTTCACACGGATTTCCGGAGACATTTAGGGTTTACTACTGTCTTCTCGTGGTGGCATGTGTGGTCCCATTGCCAAGCAGAGGGATTGCCATTATCAGTGGCCAGGATGGGGGCACCGGGAGGAGGCATGAGCTCGGAGGAGGGCAGAGGGCAGAGTTCCAGGGAGCCCACAACCCCCCCCCCACATCATACTCTGTCTACTTCAGTCACCCTCCAGGCTGCCAGCACAAGCTTCTCACTTCCCAGCAGAACTAAGCATGGGATTTTAATGATTAAAATAAAAACCCCTCCTCTGCCACTGTTTCTCTGCCCCCTGCCAAGGACTCCACACCCATGTACACGCAGTCATTTCCTATAGGTTCAGCCATGGGTGTAGTCCCATGGCCACGTTGCACCAAAAGTTACAGAAAAAAAGAGCGCAAAGTGGGGCAGAGCACTTTCCTAAGGGCCGCAGCCTTAAGGAAAAACCCAGAGGAGTTGCTGAGGGTGGTGGGAGCTGTGGCAGTATCAGTCCAGCGATGATAAAATAATCACAAATGCCAAGGAGAGAGTCCTTTAAAGATCTTTCCTAAGAACTGGGCTGGAGTCTTAGCACCCCAGCTGCCCTGGTAGGTAACTCCAAGCCTTCAGCTACCAAAGGGGAGACATCCTTTCCTCAGCTCATTGGCTTCCTCCCCTTCCCTCCGCCTCCTTAGAATAAGCTTCAGATGTTTTCATCCTGAGGGAGACACAGGGGTTCTGCTCATCAGTGCAGGCATCTGGAGCTGAAACCTGGGTGCCTAAACTTATAAAGAGACCCCCCTATTTTGCCAGGAGAGCTCCTTGTGATACCCCAGCCCTTGAAGATGTCACTATGACGTGGCATCGAGGTCATCCTGTGCCTGGGGAGAGGTCGTCTCTTCCATGAGTGAGGTTGGTCTGTGTGATTCCTGGGTGTTGAGCCTCATGGCTGGTCTTCTGCTCCTCCCCCCCCCCCCCACAGAGAACAACAGTAACAGTGACTATGTGGAGGTCTTACCCTGAAGACAAAGAGACTGAACAAAGCAATTAGAGAAGAGATGGAGTGACAGCTCTCACTGGCAACCCTGCTTCTCCTGTAGGTGCGCATGTGGAATACTTAGCTCGCGGGGAGAATTCAGACTCTCTGAAGATGTTCCCAGAGAAATTGTTTCCTGCATCTCTGCCTCCCATGCACACGCCATGAGCCGCTTTGAGACTCCTTCCCCTCACCCCCCTCCAGTCTTCTTGCTGGGAATAGGACAGCCTGAACCTATTCTCCTCGACTTCTTAAAGATACCGTTGCATCCTGGTGGATGCCCCCCTGCAGACCAGGGGATCGGAGACACAGTTTTGCACAGGAGAGAGCACACTCGGCCGGGAGTTAGGGACCCGAGTTCCAGCCCTGTGGCGATGTGACTTTGGAGAAGCTTCTTCCCCCATCTGGGGGTCTCCATACCTTCATCTGTAAAACAAACACGTTCCCACCCCTCTGCTGAGCTGCGTTGTGCCTGATGGAGTTGAGGAGATCTGGGGTGATGGAGATGTACACTGGAGTGGCAAGGGATCCGAGTCCCAGCCTCCCAAACAGCCAACATGGTCTCCGCACCTGCCTGTCCTGGTCTGAGTCATGGTGGGGGGCCCTGACCTCCCCCCTCGCCCGCCACCACCTGTCTTTCTCCCCCACATTCCAGTTCTTCTCTTTCTTACTAATCTTGATATTCTTGCCAAACACACCCACAGATACACTTTCTCCCTGGTTTTGCCCAATTTCACTTATGCACCAACAACTTCAGCAGTGCAGGTGTAGCCTTGTACCGCAGTGGTATCTGTGGGGATTTAAAAAATACTCTATTTCATGTGGTCCCTGTTCCCAACTAGACTTTAGGTGCCACCAAAGCATGGTTGGGTCTCCCTCATATTCCCCAGTGTGGACATGTGCTGTGTAGAGCAATGGAAACATGTGCCCATTCTCAGGATTTTGACCAGAAGCAGGGGTTTGTTGAATTGGTTCTAAATCTTTTGCATTTTTCTGCTAGTTCATAATTTTAATTAAGACCTGAAAAGGTGTGCAATGTACCAAATTCTATGCCCATTCTTTTACCTATTTTTAAGCCATAGTGATTCATTTTACCCAACTGGACATATCTTCCAAAGTTATTAAAGAGAGGATCTAGAGATTTCCAGACAACATGAACAGACATTGTGGTTGGAGTCCCAAGGTGTGAGCCATTCGCAGTTCTTGAGTCACAGAAATCCATAGCTACTACCAAGTGGGTTAGGAGTGAAATGCAGCCACCATATTCAGAGAGCTGAGGGAGCCAAAAATCCTTCTGGCAAGCTTGCTTTCTGGGGTTCGGTCCCGATCTTGGATTCTACATCCATGGTACAAAGAAGTATGTTCCAGTTTCCAGAGTCCACAGCAATCTTTTTTTTTCCACAGCAATCTTTTGAACAGAAAATATATCCAGTGCCAATGAAAATTTATTTATTTCTTGAACAAACGACTGAATAAATCAATCTAAAATGTAGTCTCTCATTCCGGATAGCAGAGATTTATTTGAACTTTAGACATTTCAAAATCTAGTAGAACAAAAGTATTAGTTCAAGACCTCTCTTAAAGATTTCTTTATTTATTTATGAGAGAGAGAGAGAGAGAGAGAGAGAGAGAGAGAGAGAGAGAGGCAGACACAGGCAGAGGGAGAAGCAGGCTCCATGCAGGGAGCCCGATGTGGGACTTGATCCTGGGTCTCCAGGATCATGCCCTGGGCCGAAGGGAGATGCTCAACCGCTGAGCCACGTAGGCATCCAGTTCAAGACCTCTCAATCATAACTCTGATAAAAGTGATTTCCTTTACCTGAGCACCCAGGTATAGCACCTTACATGGTCCCCAGCACACTCCTCAAATGAGCAAACAGTAGCTGATGTTAATGTCATGCTATAAATCGCTAAAATTTTTTAGAAGACCATGAACAGGTCACATGAAGAACAGCTGAAAGATCTGGGCATATGGGACTGGAAGAGGGAAGATGTCTAAACCTACAATAGGTATATCAAGTATCTGGGTCACTTTTCTGTGAAAGAGGGTACAATGCCAGACCGCAGAACTCACACCAGTGGCTGGGTGTTTATGGGAGGGCAGTTTTAGCCATGTATCAGAAAGAACTCTGAAACCACTAGAGCAGATCTTTATGCAAACAGCCTGCCCTGTGCTGTAGTGGAAGTGGAAGGTGATTTTTTTTCCCAAGGATATGGGAGAGATGCAGAAATTAGATGCCTACCTGCAAGGTACCTTCCCATTTAGGGATCCTTGGATCCTACTGCCATCTTTTCACAACTCCAGTGGGAAAATCTCTCTCTCTCTCTCTCTCTTTCGGACTTATATATGGAGAGTTGAGAAGCTAATCACATTCCTTAGTTCTTAGCTCTTTATCACCATCAATCTATACAAGACCTTTCTTCTGTTTTATTTCATTTTTTTTATTCCCTTTGCCTCTAATTCTCATTCCAATGTTCACACTCTCTCCCATAGGAAGCAGCTCAATAGTATTTGATATATGCCCTTGACAGAATACTGTAGAATGTACGGCATTGGTCGTGAATACGTAACTTTTATATTCACATACGCAATATTCTATTGTTCCAATGATGTTATTACTTTTCTCAGCACCATGTCTGGTTCTCATCTATATTGTTGAACATAATTCAGTATCTTAAATGATGCATGGCATTCTGTAGTAGCCCTCCAACAAGGTTTGCTGATCCTTTCCTAAAGAGATAGACATCCTAAAGAGATAGCTAATTTGTATGAGTCTCCCTATGGAAATGTAAGAGAATTTCTCTGAACCATATGGTCATAAAGTTTGTTCATGCTCAATTACGATGTAGTCAAACTCATCGAGTGCTTTTTGACTCTTGTTTAATAAGCCCTTCCTTGTTCCAAGATCATGAAAAAAATATCTTACATTTTCTTTTACTGGCTTTTATAAATTTACCCCCTGCAGTAAAGGTTCTAGTGATAACAAGGACTTTTGCATTTTTCACTGACACTGTCCCAGGATCTAGAAAATCTCTTTACACATAGTTGGTGTCTAATAAGTATATTTTTTAAAGATTTATTTATTCATGAGAGATACACAGAGAGAGGCAGAGACATAGGCAGAGGGAGAAGCAGGCTCCTTGTGAAGCAGGGAGTCCAATGCAGGGCTTGATCCCAGGACCCTGGGATCATACCCTGAGCCAAAGGCAGACGCTCAACCACTGTGGCACCCAGGTGCCCCTTAATAAATATTTTTTGCATGAAGGATGAATCCAGGGTTAACCTTTGTATATGGTAAGAGATATTTCCAACTTTGTATTTCTCCATATATATTGAAGTAGTTTTCCCATTTCACCCTGTTTAGTAAACCATTTCCCCCTCTGGTTTCTGGTTCCTCCTTTATATCACAACGGTTCTAATCCTTTGGCTTTGCAGTACCTTATCATCTCGTAGGGGAGGTACTCATCAATATTTTTCAAACCAACTGGATTACTTGCGGGCCTTGGTTCCTCCATACACATTTTAGTATAAATACATTATGTTGCTCAAAACATCTTGATGGGATTTTGAGTGAATTTGCAACTGGGGAGAACAGACATTCTTGTGATGTTGTCTCATGCATAAACATGCTACATCAGTTTATTCAGGTCTTTTTTTGTTCTTTAATGGAATCACAAGTTTTCCATAGAAGTGTTGTATATTCTGTTACATTAATTCCTAATTATTTTTAGTTGTTATAAATTCTGTCTTATGTTTTATTATATATGTAGCAGGCTATAGCCGTGGCAAGTAGATCTCATTAGATTTACTGGTTTACCTGTTGATCCTATTGTAAATGGAATTGTAAATTCTATGTAAGTGATTTTGTCAGCTGTAAATAATACCACGTGGTTCTCTTTCAACACTTATGCATCTGTTTTCCATGTTTACTTGATTGCTAGGACCTCTAGTATACATTAAACCATAGTCATAAAAGTGGGCATTCTTGTGTGGGTCCCAGTATTGCATGAAATGCATAGAAACTTTCTCCATTTCAGCACCATGTTTGTTGTAGCCTTTAAGATGACCATTTCAGGGGAACCCTGGATGGCTCAGCAGTTTGGTGCCTGCCTTTGGCCCAGGGCATGGTCCTGGAGTCTCAGGATCAAGTCCTTTCATGGAGCCTGCTTCTCTCTCTGTGTGTGTCTCTCATGAATAAATAAATAAAATCTTTTTAAAAAATAAGATGACCATTTTAATTTTTATCAGAAATGTTATGGCTGCTTGTCAGAAGAGTGTGTGACTCTTGATCTTAGGGCCATGAGTTTGAGCCTCACACTGAGTGTACAGATTACTTATATAAACTTAAAAAAAAACTTAAAATGCCTGGAAATTTATTAAGTGATTTGTTTCTGAATCTACTGAAATAGTCACATCCCTTTTATCTTCATTCCATTATAGAGGTGAATTATATTAGTAAAACTGCTGATATTATACCACCTTTCATTTGCTTCACTTGATCATGCTGTATTATTTTCAATAAACTGATGGGTTTAGTAAGTTAATACTTCATTTAAGACTTTTGCAGTAAAGCTCATAAGCCAAACAGAACTATAATTTACTGAATCATGGCTAGACTAATCATATAAAGTAAATGAAGCATGCTTTCTCCTTTTTCTCTTTTCTGCTACAACTTTGTGAGGTAAGGATGATCTGATGCTTAGTTTATTAGTTTGAGGCTCTGGTGAAGAGGGGAGGGAATCTTTTATTTCTGTTTAAATATCTTCAATGCTTAGCATTTTATTCAATTATTTTGCTAGTTTTGGCATTCTTTGTTCTCTTGGGAATTTATCCACTTTATCTAAACTTTTTGCAAATATTGGCATACAGTTCACAACGTTATTTTTAAAGCTGTTGTGACTGTAGTCATACCTCCTTCTTCACTCTTGTGCCGTCCTTTTTCATTAACCAGCTTTATCAACCTTACTAGTCCTTTCAAAGCCAGCTTTTTAGTTTTGTGAATCTTGTTTGTAGATTGTT